ATGATCAATACATATGTGTGATTAATTTGTTACTGTCTACATATATATTTTATATCAACACCTATAAATTCATAGTGGTATGAGGGTTTATTGTAATATATGATCAATACAAATATGTGATTAATTTAGGTTTAATTAAACTATTATATTATTAAATTTGTTATGCTATACATCACTTGATTATACAATATTTTATGTTTATCAATTTATCATACTATATTTATTATTTATTAATTGAAATGCTATCTTATAATATTTAATTATTGATTACATTTGGAAAAAATATAAAGCTATTATGTTATTGGATTTACTATATTATTTATCACTTGATTATACAATCTATTATATTACTAAATTTGTCATGCTATGTATCATAATAATTTATTACTTTTTAATTAAAATGCTATATACTTATATATTTAATTATTGATGACATTTGGAAAAAAAAAAAAAAAATCCAAACATATTATATGTATAAGAAAAACAAAAGTATCATAATATTTTATTATTGATTACCATTAAAAAAAATTCATCCAAACTAAATCAAACATAATATAAAAATGAAAAAAAATTAAATTATAATATTGCATAACATGTTTTTCGAACATAAAAGAACGAACAATCGAACGATTGTTCGCGAACGGATGGATTAGTCGAACGTATAATGTTCGCGAACATAATCGAATGAACAACCCCTGTTCGAACTCGATCGAACATATTATCAAACGAATATCGAATTGTTCGGGAACAAATTTTCGCGAACGTTATCGAACAGTAATCGAAAGAACAACGAGTTGTTCGTGAACTGTTCGGTTTGTTTGCAGCCCTAGCCAAGAGTAGTTTAAAATGGGTTTTGGAGTTGTACAGTTGGTGGTGGTGGTGGAGCAACTACCTTTATAAAGTTTCAACGGGTGGGGTCGGTAAATGGAATATTTGGGTCATTCATTAAATGAAGTTTTGTCTTAAGCTTAAATGAGTTACGTCGATAAATGTAACAGCGATGCTACAGACACCGAAAATGGGTACCGAAACCGAAATACGTGGCCTCTGATTCGGACGTCATCACGTAAGACACGATAAAAGACTCTCGTAAATGGACGGCCGTCCAACATTTTCAAACGGTCGTCCACCTCAATGGACCACCATCCATAATAGATGGACTGGTGTCCATAAGCAATACAAATTTTTTTTTTTAAATAAAAACAAAAAAGAAGATGGACGCCAGTCCATCTTATGTGGACAACCGTCCATTTTAAATGGAACGGCCGTCCACATAAGATAGATTGGCGTCCATATGGTTGTAAAAATTTTTAAATTTCAACTTCAGCTACATCTTCGTCACAACTTCTTTTATCAAGCTCTCGTTCTCTATCTCGTCTCTCTCCTTATCAACTGTGTGGGTTTGATACCAAAACACTTGTCTCATGTCCTAGTAACTGCAACAACATTAATGTCAAGAGAAGACAATGTTACTGGTTCCATTCCTCCAACTCTTAGTAACTGTTCACAGCTTGTTTCACTCCACTTAAAGCTTCAATTTTCTCTTTGGAACTATCCCTTCAAGCTTGGGGGCTCTGTCTAAGCTTCAGGATTTGAAGCTGTGGTTGAATAATCTCTATGGGGAGATCCCACAGGAGCTTGGTAGCATTCAAACATTGCAGACATTGATTCTTGACTTCAACCAGTTGTCGGGACCAATGCCTTCTGGTTTAAGCAACTGCACCAATTTGACTTGGATCTCATTGTCGAATAACCAACTGAGTTGTGAGAATCCTTGGTGGCTTGGGAAGCTTTCAAACCTCGCGATTCTCAAGCTCAATAACAACTCCTTTTATGTAGCATCTCGCTGGAGCTGGGTGATTGTAGGAGCTCACTATTGTGCTTTCAAGCATCTCTACGGCTTGTAAGCAGATAGCTTCTTTGGTTCAGAGAGTCAGCATTTCCAACTTGACTGGCGTTCAAGGTGCTGTCAACGTTCAGGGGGAGGACCAGAAGAAGCTTGATGTTGTTTCAAATGAGGTGGCATTCAAGGTGCTGTCAACGTTCAGGGGGAGGACCAAAAGAAGCTTGATGTTGTTTCAAATGAGGTTGGTAGGGCTTGCATTGGGAGTTAATCATCTTGGCTGCATATAATGAGTCAGACTCTACCCAAAGGTTCCGAATGCCCATTCGCGAAGCCATCTCCACCGTATGGCAGATTGCATAAAGTTTCACCTTCCAAATCTCTCTCCACTCAACCGTCTTCCGGAAAGCCCAAAGAGGATGGCCGAAAACGTCTCGTGCTATCACAGCCACAGTAGCCTCTATTGCTACTAAACTGTCTGTGTTCACTTTTGTTTCCGGAGGGTTTGAAGAAGAGTAAGATTCAGCCATTTATGGCTGAGCAGGGTGACCGTGCACTACCCAAAACAGAGTGCAAAAAGAGTTCATAACTCTCAGTTTAATCTGAGAGGAAATTGAATGCAGTCTCAGTTTGACTTCCCTTATAGGGACGGCCGTCCGCATGTGATGGACGACCGTCCATCGTTTGTAATTTTTTTTTTAAAATTACTTTTTATGGACCCTCGTCCATTCCACTATGAACGGTCGTCCAGGAGTATGAACGGCCATCCAAAACCGTTGGACGACCGTCCATTTGAGTCAATGTTCTATCGTCCAACGTGGCAACATCCACGTATTTTGGTGCAATTGTTCGGTACCAATCTGTCGGTGGATATAACATTTTTGTAAATGTAATTAGAGTGATTATATATGCACAAATTATTTTCTATAAATTGATATGATAATTTATGTAATTTTTTTAATTATTTAATTTATTTTTAATTTTAAAGTTATCTAATTATCTTAAAATACATCAATTTATATGAGCAAGTCTGTGTATAAAGTATTATCCATACAATTAACATTAGTAATTTAATTAATTGAGTTATACATGTTAGGCAACATTAAATTAAACTTTTTGCAGTAAATTTATTGTTTAATTAAAAAATGAAGTTGAACTAATAACAGATAGAAGCATACTATACTCAATTTTAATTAATTTATTACAAAATTTGTTTGTGAGGTTAAATATACAAAATGACATGACACTATTGCATAATTGACATTATTTTTCTTTATTTAATGAGTTGACTTCACATTTTCAATTTCTCACATCATTTTATATTTACAAGTAATATTATTATTTATTTTATTCATTTTTTGGTATGTAATTTAATTGAACTTAAGGTTTGTTATTTTTAGTTTATTATATATAATTAAATAATCATTTCACTATTCATATATTTATTTTAATTATAATTTGTTATATAAAATTGATTAATAAATATTATTATCTATATAGTTAAAATAAAAATTGAAAAAATAAAAACTAAAAACAATATATTATTAAACAAAGAATATTATAGTAAAGTAATCAGTCAATTTTTTTGGGTGCATTTATTACTATCCGAAACCCTTTGTTGTATTTGTTAGTTCTTCAAATCTCGAGGAAAATATTGTAAATCCACCTTCCCTAGAGGTGGAACAAATGGGCCGGGTTAGGCGGGTCAACCCTAACCTGGCCCGTAATGAAGAGGGTTCAACCCGCCAGCAACCCCCGGGTAGGTCAGGTTGCAAATGTTTTTTATAATTATACAGTTGGCTAATCTTTATTTGTTAAAAAAAAAAATTAATTGGGCAATTATTGAGTGAAATTTGAGAATATTGATGAATGTAATAATTTCCGAAATTATAATAAGGAAACAAATAAATAGTTATTTTGCCTTTGATTAGGCCGAGAATATTAGACCAAAGCGTAATTTTCAGAACCGTAAACAGATAAAACTTTGAGTAATACTAAGCAGACAAACAAATCTTACAACTTTCTCTTATAAACGCAGACGTGACACTAAGTTAACTTTACCATGTGAAATCATGACTTTTATTAAATACGAATGGATGTTCCTTAGAGAGGAAAAACTGTTCATTCATAAGAAACGACCGTTCCTTGGATGAGGAATGTTTGTTCCTTATATGGAACGGGTCATTCGGTTCTATTCCATATTGATGGAATGGGTGTTCCATAAGATGGAACACCGGTTCCATCTCATGGAACATCCGTTCCATCAAAGGAACGACCATTCCTCATCCAAGGAATGATTGTTCCTCATCTAAGGAATGACCATTTCTTAGGTCTAATCAAAATCATTTTACAACCGTTTTAATAGAAGTTGCCAACTCAGCTACCACGTGTGGGGAGAAAGTTATTGAGACGCGTTTGTCAGGTTAGGTTTTTTTTTTTTTTTTTTTTTTTTTTTTTGTTTTTTATAAGAATTAGTTACCACAAATACAATTGGCGTTTGCGCTTCGTTTTATATTCAGTATTCACTTCACTGGCCTTGTGGAGTTGTATTTCCTTCTTGACTGTATATGAATTATTTCAGGCACCTGTGCAAAACCTGAAGCCATTGATTTGCAGATTTTATTTTATGCCTTTGTTTATTCTCTATTTCTTTTTTGGTTTTGTAGTTGTATGGTATGAACAGCAACTTCGCTTTTCTTTGCATTGTATTCTGAATCTGATTGCTAGAGATATGTACTGACAATGTATTGAGGAACTCCGACTGCATATAGAGCAGGAAAACAAGCTGTGGTGTATTTAATTTGTTGCCAGGAATTTCGGAATGCCTTGAGCTAAACTGACTTTTAGTATCTACTCTCTGGTCATTTAAGAAAGCTGAAGTGGGTACTTATCTGTTCATACGGTAACACTAAGTACGGTACATTGGATAATGTTACCATCTATATGTTTCATTGGATCTACCCCTCAAGTGGTTACTCCCCAGTACCTTAGTAGAACACCCTTTGGAAACAAACTGGAAATAGTCTTTCCAAGACACAAAAGCGCAGCATCTGATAATGCAAAACTCCCATAACTGTAGATTCTATTTGATGTTTATAAAGGGGTAGGCAAATGGGAAATAGTCATGCGCAACATGATTTTAATATTAATGCTTATTCAAAATTTGAAGCATAAAATGTTACAGATGTCAGATGATGTACCCACCTCTTATATCGGTTTTCATTGAGTTACAAGATGCTTACTAGGATTGAGCCACATTGAATCATATGTACACCTATAGTCTCCAGGAACAGAACTCAACAGTAGAACGTTTCCTCCTAAATAATTCCCGATAAGCAACGAGCAAAATCAGCATGCAGTGCATGCCCTCCCTGAATTGCAAGTACAAATTAGAATCAGCAACTTGACTGGAAGCCCCATAATTGAAATAACTAGAGTGCCTTTGACAATCACACAATCTTCAAGATCATGCAATATCATACAACTATAATCAAGTTTTTATTTCTTTCGCGTCATCTTTTAAGTCACGATGGAGATTGGTCAAGAACCATCTCTGGATTTGGACAATCATAAACTAATGTCAAACTGCCCGATTCATAATAATAGCAAAATGATTATGATCAAGTTCACACATGATAGATCATCTACATACTCAATCTGCTAGAAGAACTGTATGAACAATTAAGCAGCCTTAATGACTAAAATTGTGGACAATTGGGAAAGCAAAGACACTTGCCTTGAAAGCTACTATGTGAGCCATAGGAAGCCCTTGACTACCATTCCGTGCAAATAGGGATAGGTCACCTACAAGATCTAAGACCTTATGCCGACAAGGTTCATTTGGGAATCGCAATGGTGGATTTAACCAACCTTCACTGGAACTACAGAAAAAGATGAACAAGCATATCACCAGGAGCACGAGAAAGACAACTAATATGATTTTGACAATGTAATGTAAGTTCATTTCAAGAAGATGAATTCTATTGAAGTTAGCACAATTCCATACAATTTTCTTATGTTTATATTGAAACTAGTAGAAACACGATGCTCCTTTGATCAAAATAGAAAGACGAGAAACAGATAGAGATTCAACATGCTTTAAGAATCATGTTATGTTAGCTCTCATCAGATGTATATGCATAAACTGAATCCAAGTTTCAGCGTCACTCCAGCCTGCCACTATCTACATTTTAAACATCATATGCATTAATGTTGTTACTTATATTAAATAGATCAATTAGATTTAAATCCACTGCAAGTTTGCAATTTCAAAGTCTGCCCATTAATACAGACGCAATTATCTTGTTCGTGGCAAAATGAAAGATTTTCCAAATCACTGTTTTATTTCCAAGTCACTAGTGTTAACGTCAACATGATGGTATATTCTGTGTTTCTCACAATTTTATGGGAGACCTAGACGTTACTGTTCATCACTAAAAATGTGCATTCTTTAGTGCCATAGGTGGCCGATCCCATGATTATTTTGGAAACTATCATACTTCAATCCAACTGATTTTTCATCCATAAAGCCTCATAATTCATAGATAAATGAAGAATCTCACCTACAAACCAGGGCATTTTCTAATGAACCCCCTTTTATTAGTCCTGCAGCACGCATAGACTCCACCTGAAAGAATATTCCCCAGAGATTAAGTATCAGCAGTGTAAATAAATAGTATAGGGACAGTTAAAAATACCTTCATCAAATTTAGTGACAAATATTCTACAGCTTAAATCTCAGTGAATTTTATAGCTCAATTAGAAATAGTAATAACTTTCTTCCAAATTCATACAAGTAGCAGCTAGTTGTACTGGGGAAAAATGAAAATAGCTATAAGATCTGCCTTCATCATAGTACATCAGATAGCCATAATTCTGGTGAATACTTCATTACTATGTACCCAGTTCTGTTAAACTATCATTTATATCAAAAGCTTAAGCTAATCGGAAAAATCAGCAAAATACCAAGCCATGGTGTTTAAACTTTAACATGCCTCCTCCAATACTTGAGAAGAGAAACAAAGTATTTTCAGACCACAAAAATGTAAAAAAATAGTTATCAAATTTAAGTTTATATGCCACCTTGCCAACACATCAGTTCAAGTCATCTGGAAACACCTAACATCTCTGATAAAAGGGTCCTTATGTGATTTACAAGAACTACCAATTCTAGAAAATAATCGAATAAAAATTAACATCTCAGCTTTTCGGTCACATAAAGCTTGACAGTACATCAATTAGCAACAAAGTATAACTCATAGCATATAAAAAGAAAAGAGCAAATGTCAAACCAGATAATGAGCAAAACACTATTGATATGGAACAATAACAATGCTACTGCTAGAGAGAATGGAAAAATACCTCCTCATAAATGCAAAAGGTTCTTGAAGATGCAATCTGCATTGCATAGAAAGAGTCATCCAATGGTGCTGAGGAAAACCATTGGCAGCCAATAGCAGGCACCTAAAACAACAGAAAGGAAAATTGTATAAAAACAAGTCTTGTTACCTAAGATATGATGTTAAGTGCTACCATTTGAAGATTTCAATGTCAGCATAAACCTATTGTGTTACCAGCAGCAAACAATTTTAGCAATTACAGGCAAAACAATATATCAAACAGAAAATCCAGAAACAAAAATATGTAATTCAAATAAGCAACGCAGTTCAACAAAACCTTCAAACCCACTTTACACAATTATATTTAATGTTGTACACTACCAAGTCAGTCAATATAGCTGCATACCTGGGGAAAGTCAATTCCACAAGTGATGTGAACCTTCGTGGAAGGGAAAGCAACTATAAAAGAATCATTCCTCCATACATGTACCGGTTCATTCAAATACGGAGCAACTTTTTCACCATTGACTCCATGCTGATCCAAGGCCTCCTTTAGACCAACTTGTTCTATTGCCTCCACCCATGCACGTGCTGACCCATCAAAAATAGGAACCTGTGTCAGTTTTGTTGGAAATCATCAATCTTCCTATGCAATGTTCAAGAATAAAAACACTTGGCCTTCATGCAACTCCAAAAATTTGCTAATGTAGAACAATATAAGGATAAATTGTTCCTATTGAACATTAATAGATTATTCAAATTTATTCCAATAAAATTCGCTCCCTTGGTTTAGACAGCACAAGTTATAACAAGCTGATGCAAAGTAAACTCCTGAAAATGACACAGCAGTCATATCACTGACAAATTACACCCTCTTTCAAAGGTGAAGTCAAAATAAAAACTTAATGAGGTAGCAAAAGAGACTCTGGTGGTCCTCTACAGCAACTATAAGTGAAATTTCAAGTGCCAGATGAAAATCTAGTCACCATCTTGAAGAAAGTTAATAAACCTAATACCCTTCTAAACAATATACCAGAAAAGCATGTCCATAATTTAGTAATAAGTGTGAGATGAGACTCATAAATTTGGAAAAAGAGTTCAAAATAATTGTGCATGCCTTGCCATTCATACACACCGACAATTCAATAACACATTCTCAAGTCAAACCAAAGATTACCAAGTTGACAATTCCGGCAAGACAGTAAATTACAAGGTTACAAATTTTACGTATTCCACCAGTCCAAACTTACATTTAGCCCAAGAAATTTGTGAGCCTGAAAAATAATTCAAAACACTAACCTCAACCTCTTGACTGCCACAGTCCAAATTTTCAATCTCAATCTTGCAATTATCAACACCCTTAGCCTCCAAAGCAGACAGCAAATGCTCAACAGTCCGGACGCTAATTCCATCCTTACAAAGCGTGGTACACAAGGGCGATACTTTGGCGAAATCAATGGATGCAGAAACCAATTTCGATTGAAATTCGAAGTACCTCCCTTCACCAGCATACCCCGGGCATATTTTCACCCTTGAAACCTCACCCGAATGCAAAGTCTTGCCACTCCTCTCTATGCATCCAGCTATGGTTTGCTGAAGCCTACCCGTCTGTCATGAAACACAATGATGTACAGACAATCATAAATTTCTGCACAAAGTAATTTTATGTAACTAAAAGATTCTTACAAAAATTACAGTGACAACTTCTCAAGGCATGATTAATACTCTTATAACTACTATCAATCTATGTTACAATTTGTATTTTGTGAATGCTTTTACAATGACCAAGATCCCCTGTCTCCAATTCTGAGAAAAATTAGTAAAAATTCTTCGTCTGCGTTTGAATGAAACACAAAAACGAAGCATACCCAACTGAGTTATGAAATGGTTTAAGAGTTTAATCATATCGTTTCCTCAAAATTTTCTTTTCAAACAAACAGAAAAACACAATAAGAAATTTTAACAGAAGCCAACAGATAGACAAATACATAAGAGAGGGGGTGTTTGTAAATGGGCGTACGGATTTCCAGGAGATGAGATTGGAGGACTTGAGTGCGTTGAAGATGCCAAACACAGTCATTAGTGAGAGTAACTCCAACTGTTTTTGTTAACAAGAAGGTTCGTTGCTTTGAATGCTTGAGAACAGAAAGTTGAAGCTCTAGTGGAAACTATGAGTAATTACCATTTGGTCCCTGTACTTTACCCTAATTTAGTTGTACAAAGACTCCCTCCAATGACTATTTTGTCCCAAATTTGTCTCAATAACCTTTTGACCAGACCAGATGTAAATTATAATGAGTAATGTTACTTTCACACCACTCTTTATACTATTTTTATCACATCATGACGTGGCACCAAACAAAATTTTAATTATTATGAATTTTTAATATTATAATAGAATTATTATTAGTAAAAGAGTAAACGACATATTCTCACCCAAGGTTTGATGAAATCCTAAGTTAATACACCAAGTCATATTTATTCTAGATTCCCACCCTTAAAATAACAGTGTTATCAATTTTTAGGATTTAGAGGGTGCAATTACCATAATGCCCTTAACCCTAAATTAATAAATTATGTTTTAACCCTTAAATTAGTAGAATTATACTTATCATTTTATTTTTAAATTATGTCAAAAACACCCTTGGTCACTACACACCCTCGTCGGAAACAACCCAATCTAGGCTGTTTCCGACGACGTCAAACCCCTTGGTCACCTCCATCACCTTCCCTGTAGTCCGCCGTCCAAAACCCCTCTGGTTCTCGACTCATTGACCCTTCCAATCGCCAGCTCCATTAGGCTTAGAGTTTTGGTGTTCTTTGCAGGATTTCGGTTGATTCCGGCGGTGAATATCCAATTGGACACCATCATTGCAACCACCGTCTCCAAATCTATAAAAACCATATGTCCTTAGCAACCGTTTCGTCGCCATTTACCGGCTGAGAGTTTGTGTTCATCGGTCGTTTTTTGGTGAAGTGGTGGACGGCAGACTATAAGCTGTCGTGGCTAGAAAGGTTAGGGGTTTTGTAGGGGAGGATGCGAGGAGTCAAATGGTGGTGGTAGTTGGGGTTGTCACCATTCAAAACGGCCGAAAATCGGCAAAAACCAGTCACCTGCCGTGACTACAGTGGTTGGCGATCAGCAAGTGATGAGGGGTTGTAAAGGGTATGGTTTTGTAGAGGGGAAGATGGGGGTTCAAATGGTGGTGAGAAGGGTGATTTTGGGTGGAAGAATCGCCGGAAAAAGAGCAAAAAACATCGGGGACGCCATCTGCTAATGTGCACCGAAGGACTGTTAGAGGTAATGGTCTACTAACGTGCGTCGCCCATGTAAAATGACCAATTTACCCCTTTATTATTACATCAAATGGTTTTCTGTCACTTTAAGGGTGAGAATTTAGAATAAATGTAACTTGGGGTACCGACTTGGGATTTCGTCAAACCTTGGGCGGGAATATATCGTTTACTCTTAGTAAAATGGTCATGAAGTAAGAGAATAGTGTAAAAAACTGGTGTAAAGGTAGCATTACTCAATTATAATTTCCTTTAATCGAGAAAATGGATATAGTAACCAACAGAAAAGGAAACCTTTTTTTATTTTTCATAAATTCCTTTTATTAACTACAATTGTATAATATCAGTTGGTAGATACAACACATAATAATAATATTATAACAAACACATCTAAAAGGAACAAATATTTTCACCCTTTGACATACAAATCCACATAAACACATGAAGTTACTAGTTAAAGTTGAATTTCTCACTGATAAATCATTAAATAATGATCTCCTCTTTCAATTATCTAAAGTAATAGCAAACACATCTAAAAGGAACAAATATTTTCACCCTTTGACATACAAATCCACATAAACACATGAAGTTACTAGTTAAAGTTGAATTTCTCACTAATAAATCATTAAATAATGATTTCCTCTTTCAATTATCTAAAGTAATAGTATATCCCCTATTATATCTATTTCGTTAAAGTTTTTGTCATATACTAACATATTTAATCCTTAGCTCATGCAATTAACTACTAAAACGGAATATTAATGCTTCAAGGTCTTGTTCCTAGTTGGACTAATTGCAGGGGGTTTCCTCAACTTCCATGTCAACAAATTCATCTTGCTTCAACATTGTTCTCTTGTTGTTGTGTACTACTAGGGCCGTCTCAAGAACGTTTGTCACCCTAGGCAAGAGTTTCTTTGGGGACCTTCTGATGCAAATGCAGAGCACGGTGTCCAAGCGGAAACTACTCCTTGAATCGTGGAGGATGGAGACTTATTCGGCTGTTACTATTTTTATCTATGAAATTCAAAATTGCATTGATTGTTAATTCTTTCCTAATTTATTTCCGTAAGATTCTGTTGCTATGTTGGCAACTCTTTCCTAGTTTATTTCCTGAATTATAGCATCATTTGTAATCCTTTAAAAGAGGTAGTGATGGAGAAAAAAAAGGCAGTTGCTGATTTTTTTGTTGACTGATGAATTTGAGATTGGAGAGATTCCATTGATAGAAAGACTCTGTTTGAATTGTTTTTTTTTTCCTCTTGGAAGTCGACGTGAGGTTGGCTTTGGAGGTTTGCACCAATTTTGGTATCAGAGCTACATGCCTGTAACCCACAATGGGAACTCTTACAACATGTCGAATAGCCAAAACCCAAACACTAACCTACCCCAACTACAAGCACAGATCACCTAACTCGCAACTGCCCTGGAACAGATTAATCATAGGTTGGATGCAATGGATGAACGCCGAACTCGACATGAGTTTGAACCTCACAATAGGAGGGTGTTTAGGCCTCCTCCGGAGGATGAAGCAAACAGTAGTGTAGGGGACAAAGAGGATGAAGAATTCAGGGAAAGGAACAGGGATTTGGTGATCGTGGAGCTCGCTTTGAGCGGAATGTCCGCGACTTTCCTAGGGGACAATGAGAGCATGAATTCAACCATCACCCTCTTGATGAATTAACCAAGGGGATGAAGGTAGATGTCCTAGATTTTTTTGGGAAGCTGGACCCCAATGCTTTTGAAGATTGGTTGACGGGGATTGAGGATTATTTTGATTGGTTTTCTGTGTTTGAGGATAGAAGAGTTCGTTATGTCCGTATGAAATTAAAAGGACATGCACAAGTTGGTTGGGGTAGTGTGGAAGAACAATTACATCATACAGGATGTGTGCCAGTGAGTAATTAGGAAGAGATGAAGGAACGGCTAAAGGAGAAATATTTGCCTATTGACTACGAGCAAAAGATGTTTGAAGAGATGTTGCAACTGAGGCAATGGACGTTGACTATCGGCCAGTATACAGATCGCTTCCATGAATTGACTGTTTGCAGCAAGGTGGTGGAAAACGAGCAACAAACTCTAGCTCGTTACCGTACTGGTTTACGAAATGATTTGCGAAAGGAGATGCTGAACGCACGACTCCTAAACGTTAATGAAGCTTATCAATTGGCCTTACGAGTCGAAAAGCAACTAGGGCTCTCAAGTGGGAGGCAAATGGCATCTACGGATACTAAGCAGGAATGCGCACCAACCCAATTATTCCAAAAAAACACCTATGCCCATTGACCAAAGTAGAAACACTGTGGTGGGACCAAAGGGGAAAGGCCAAGCTTACGGGTGACGGACCACAATGCTACAAGTGTAAGGGGTTTGGGCACTTTGCTGAAGTGTGTCTTATGAGAGAAAAAAAAATTGGCATTTGTGTGTGAAAAAGAAATTAGAGTGATTGATGCAGTTGAGGGAGTTGAGGAAGACGAAGAAAGTGATGGCGAAGACATAGAACACTTGGGAGCAACCAACCTGTCCAGTTGTGTGATCCACAGAGTTTTGACTGGCACTAAGAAAAAGGTCCAAGTTGATTCTAATGGGAGGCGCACCAACATTTTTCATACCCGTATGGAGCATAGCGGTCATGCATTGTATGTCATCATTGACAACGGGAGTGGAATGAACGTAATTTCTAGTGATGCGGTGGAGCGTTTGGGTTTGATAGTTGAAAAACACCCCACTCCTTATCAAGTAAGCTGGGTTAATGAAGACAACCCCATCTTGGTAAAGCATCGCTGTTTAGTGAAGTTTGCATTAGGAAAAACCTATATGGATGAGGCCTGGTGTGATGTGGTTCCCATGACCGTTTGTCACTTGTTATTGGGTCGACCTTGGCTCTATGACAGAAAGGTGTTATATGATGGGTATGCTAATTCTTACTCCTTTAAAGTTAATGGCAAGAAATTCGTTTTAGACCCTTTTGCAGTTTTCTGAATTTGAAGCACAACCAAAACAAAAAAAAGAAGTTGTTCCAGTGCTAACCATTCGGCAGTTCACTCAAGCTCTAAAAGATGAACAACTAGTGTTGTTGGTGGTCAACCGAGAAACTAAACAGGATGATGGTATTATCCCCAATGAATTTGCGAAGATGCTAAAAAAGTTTCAGGAAATCATGCCTGATGAGATGCCGAAGCAGCTACCACCAATGCGAGAGGTGCAACATGCCATTGATCTAATCCCAGGATCTTCTCTACCCAACCTACCACATAACCGTATGAGCCCTACAGAAAATGAGGAACTCAACCGACAAATTCAGCAATTGCTTGATAATGGTTTCATCCGAGAAAGTCTTAGTCCTTATGCCGTACCAGTTCTACTTACACCCAAGAAGGATAATACTTGGAGAATGTGCGTCGACAGCCGAGCAATTAACAAAATAATGGTGAAGTACCGATTTCCTATCCCCCGACTGGACGACATGCTAGATTTATTGAGTGGCACATCTATCTTTACAAAAATTGATCTTCGTAGCGAGTATCATCAAATTCGAATCCGTCCTGGGGATGAGTGGAAGACGGCATTCAAGACTAAAGATGGCTTATTAGAGTGGGTGGTCATGCCTTTTAGACTAACCAACGCACCAAGCACATTCATGCGTGTTATGACGCAAGTACTCAAACCTTTCTTGGGTAAATTCATAGTCGTCTATTTTGATGATATTTTGATTTTTAGCCAGTGTTTGCAGGACCATTTAGACCATGTGATGCAGGTTCTAGAGACCTTAAAAAGAGAACGACTTTATGTGAATCGTGGCAAGTGCTCCTTTATGAAGAATCGGGT